TCACCCCCTGGAGGGGACCCGGCATGCGTGTGGGCTCCCAAGGGGTCTACGGGCAGAGCCCTCCTGTCCCCTCAGCACCTTCCCTGGGCCAGGCCAGTGTCAGCGCAGGACCTTCCCGTCCGGGCCCCTGCCCTCGGCCGCCTCCCCTCTGCCGCGGGTTCAACACAGAGCCCTGGGGGTGGACATGGGGCATCAGGAAGATGCGCCTCCGGCCCTCGCCCCTGCACGTGGACCCGGTCAGCAGCAGGTGTGGACCCGGAGCTCTCACTGCTGAGGGGTTGAAAGCACACCACAGACGTCTGGCACCATGGAAAAGTCCAGAAGGAGAAACGCCTGGCGCTGAAGGAAGAGGTGAAAGCATGCTGGGGGGCAGCCGGGGTCCTGGAAGGGGCTTCCCGTGGAGAGCCCGGCAGTGGGGCCATGACGGACAGAGGGATGGACGGACTGCTGACGAGGAGTCGGGTCGGAAGGGGACCCTGAGCTGTAGAGGCCGAGAGCCCTGACGGCCAGATGGGTCCAGTGGAGCCGGCATTCGGGGCCCCTGAGAAGCGTGTCGCCCTGTCCCAGCGAGGGTCATGGTCTCTCATGTGGAGATTCCCCTTCACCAAGATGTGCCTTCCCTGCTGGTGCCCAGGAGGCACCGGAGGGGAGCCCCCGGGTCCCCATTCGCCCTTCCTCGGAGCCCTGGTTCAGCCCAGCCTCCCAGCCCTCACCCCCACCCCCTGCGCGCCTGGCCACCGGCTGCTGCCCTGCGCGGCCTCTGCCAGGGCCTCTCCGGGAGCAGGGCCACGAGGTGCTTACTGAGCCTCCCGCCCGGCCAGGCACAGGGAGGGGAGCCCGCACAGGAAGTGCTGGTGGCCCAGTGCTGGGGAGAGCGCGGCCCTTATGGAAGGAAGGGGGCTCCACAGCATGAGCGGAAAACACCCGCAGCGTTTGGGTCGAAGGGCCTCTGGGGGGCACCCCTGAAGCAGCGCCCCCACCCTACAGCCCTGGGCAGGACCTGGCCACTCACTGGTCCTGCCAGGGTCTGGTGGCAGGGACCCTGAGCCAGGGCCGCTGTGGACTCACTGAGACCAGTGTCCCCTGGGGACGTCACTCCAAAGCACATGGCAGGGGCTGGCCCGTCCCTTCCTGCCTCTGTCCTGCTGAGTCTGTGGAGCACAAAGGACAGATGTGACCTGCTCCGTGGCCGCAGGGGAGGCCCCTGCAGATTACGAGGAGGAAGGAACGGAAACCACCAAAGTGTCCTCGACAGAAGCAGGTTAGCGGCCAGACGGAGCTCTCCATGGACGATGGGCAAGCCCGCAGGGGAGGCGCGGCTGTGAGCAGGCACCGGCCTGGAGTATCAACTAAGTGCTGTAAGTGGTGACCCAGCGTATGCGGGGCAACGGAATGATTGTGGAGGACACAGGAGAAGGAAGAAAGCTTCTGCATCTGGAAGGATCCACAGCCCACGTGAGCCCTGGGTCGGGGCTGTGAGGTGTGGTTCACTGTGTAATCAGTACACTTCAGTACGGCTGGAGTTTTGTAATGTGCATCTATATTCATTTTTCTATAGAAGATAGAGGATAAGAGGTAATGGAAAATATTCACAGGCCAATCAAAACATCAAACAATTAGAAATAAAGATAAGAAATCTGCAGCATCCACTTTTTTAAAAAAAAATTTATGCTTTATTTATTTCTGAGAGAGAGAGAGAGACAGCGTGAGCAGGGGAGGGTCAGAGAGAGAGGAAGACACAGAATCTGAAACAGGCTCCAGGCTCTGAGCTGTCAGCACAGAGCCCAACACGGGGCTCAAAACCACGAACCGTGAGATCATGACCTGAGCTGAAGTCGGACGTTCAAACTGACTGAGCCACCCAGGCGCCCTAGCACCCGCTTTTTTAAAAAGCAGAAAGAGAGACCCCTGGTTAGCTCAGTCAGTTGAGCTCCTGACTCTTGATTTCAGCTCAGGTCACAATCTCAGGATCATGGGATTGAGTCCCAAGTAGGGCTCCATGCTGAGCGTGGAAACTGCTAAAGATTCCCTCTCTGTGCCTCTGCCCCTTCCTGTGCGTGCACACACACTCTCTCTCTAAAATAAAAAATAAAATAAAATTGGGGTGCTTGGGTGGCTCAGTCAGTTGAGCATCTGACTTTGGCTCAGGTCATGATCTCACAGCTCAGCTCGTGAGTTCGAGCCCCGCGTTGGGCTCTGTGCTGGCAGCACGGAGCCTGGAGCTGCTTCAGATTCTGTGGATTCCTCTCTCTCTGCCCCACCCCCACTCATGCTCTGTCTCTGTCTCTCTCTCTCAAAAATGAATAAACATTAAAAAGATTTTTAAAAATGAAATAAATAAAAACAAGAAAGAAACAGAAAGACTATATTCATGGATTTAATTTCTTAATTGTATTTTTAAAGGTCTGTTCTTCCTTCATCTATGAGGCTAATATAATTCCAACCAAATTATTAACAGCATTTTATCGCTTGATTCCAATGCTCTTTTGGAAGGTGAACTTATAGGGACAAGACCCTTTTGAAGACTCTCGAGTTCCCCGGACATTTACATGGTCACAAGCTGTCGCCACGAGCCCGGAGCTCTGGGACCGCAACACACAGCAGAGGCTCCGCTGAGTGAGAGCCACGCCCATCTCAGGCTCCGCTACGTATCAACCGCGTCGCCTTGAATGCGTCTGCGTGAATGAATGAATGGATTCATCAGTAGCCCGTCTGGAGGCAACTGGCTAATCGTTTGCAAAAATCATACCAAAAATATTCTGACTAAAGATATAAGTTGAAAGAACAAAACAAAATACTGAAATAAAGAATGTTTTTATCATCTTGGGATGGAGAGCACGTTTATCTATTTTTTAAAAATATTCATTTATTTTCAGCCACAGAGAGAAAGTGAGCAAGGGAGGGGCGGAGAGAGAGGAATAGAGGCAGAATCCCAAGCCGGCTCCGTGCTGTCAGCACAGAGCCTGAGGCGGGGCTCAATCCCACAACCCTGAGATCATGACCAGGGCTGAAACCAAGAGCCGGATGCCTAACTGACGGAGCCGCCCAGGTGCCCCATGGAGAGCAGCTGTTAAAGTATGATAGGAAAAGTGGAAATCAGAAAGGGAAAGACCAATCGGTTTGACTTAATAAAGCAGGACAATTGTGTATGAAAACACCATAGAACATTGCAGCGCGTAGGATGAGCTGAAGAAAACATTTGCAACGTACACGTGAGGATTCTGTGGCAGTTCGCACCTGTAACACGTAAGGAGCTCTCAAGTCATTACGGAAAAGACAAATACTCAAGAGTGAAAAAAGAGAGAAGAGAGACTTTAATTTCCTTTATTTATTTATTTATTTATTTATTTATTTATTTATTTATTTTTGAGAAAGAGAGACAGAGTGTGAATGGGGGAGGGGTGGGGGACACAGAATCCGAAGCAGCTCCAGGCTCCAAGCTGTCAGCACAGAGCCCGATGCAGGGCTTGAGCCCATGAACCGTGAGATCATGACCTGAGCCGAAGTCGGACGCTCAACCAAGTGAGCCACCCAGGCACCCCTTTAATTTTCTTGACAGCGTGTCCCGCAGCCCAGCGAACCCGGGACCGGCTCGGGGCACCCGGGTTCTGAGGGCCGCTTTGGGACTCCCGAGCTCTGGGCGGTGCAGGTCCATCCCCTGTGCACAGATAACAGGCGCCTCACACTTAGCGCCCGGAAATGTGCCATAACGCAGGGTGGCAGAGTGAGCGGATGTGTCATGACCGTCGCCCCGCAGCCGCGTCCCCGAGGCTCCCCCTGCGGCAGCCCCGAGCGGGGTGCTGTTGGGCGGGGGCGCGGTTCTGGGGCTGGCTGCCTGGAGGAGTCTCATCCAGAAGCAGGGAGGGGGCGGCAGTCACCCACTGCAGCCAGGAGAGGGGGGTCCGGTCAGCGCTGCGGTGGCTCGCGGACAGCCTGGAGCGACATCTTGTCTCTTCCAGTCTTGGGCACGGGATGGCCTTGTCTGGAGGCGTCGTGTCCAGCAGTAGCACGCGGGGCCTGGCGGGCTCTAAGCTGTCAGGCCGCCGTCTCCCCGCTCCCTGCACCTGCCGCTGAAGAGTTCTTTGTCCCTGTGGCCGCCGCGCCCAGCCTGGCCCAGCAGCTTCTCCCTGCTCGTGGAAATAGGGCCACACGGAGCCTTAGGAACAGGGTAAGGTGGCCAGATTGGCCCAGGACACGCTGTGTGCCTGTCCTCTGCTTGGGGATTTGTGACTCCCTGCAGTGTCTAAAGTCTCTGAGAAGTCCTGCAGGAAACGTGCTTAGCCCTCCTTCTGCCCAAACGTACTTAGCAAAGATTCCCCCCCTCGTAGTGCGTTTGAAAGCACGACACGTGAAATCATGTTCACAGAGCACCAGAGATCATCAGTTCCAGAGCCAGCAGGTGGCTGAGCTCAGCCTCCGTCCCCAGGGCCATCCGGGGGGGTTGTGAAGTCTGCGGGCTCCCAGGCCCAGGGGCTGCCTCTGTGTCTCCTCTGTCTGGGTGACCTACAAGCGGCCGGGGCACCCCTGACACCCGAGAAGCGACGGTCCTTCACAGTCTGTCGCTCCCCAAGCGCGGCTCGGGGCCCATCTGCCCCAGGCCAACGGTCGCGCCAGGAGGCTCATCACCGCACCAGCTGCTGGGCCCCTCTCTCTGGGCTTCGTCTGCCCTAGAATCCCCTCTGGTTGCCTCGTGTGGGGCCCTGAGCCCCATTGCTACCCTCAAAGCCGCTGCAGAAACACAGGACAGCGTGACGGCTGACGTGGGTGGGGGTGGCTCTCACCATCGCCAGGATACAAGCACCAAAGCTGGTTGGTGCGCGGGCACCAGCATGGGGCCCTCCCCCAGACCCAGGGAGGGAGGAGGGGCTCCAAAAAGAATGTCAGTGGGCATCGAACCTGCGGATGCCCCGGCCATGGGGGGCAGGGGAAGCGGGCAGCCGGGTCTGGGTGGGGCGGGGCTGGGCTCAGCCGGGAAGCTTCGCCAGTCACAGGCACGGGTGATGCCGGGTGCACAGCCAGGGCGGGAGAGGTTTCGGCGCAGCGAGTCATTCCCGTGGAGCCGGAGGAGGCCTGTGTTAGGCCCTGCCCTGCGCTCCCGCGTGGACCCTCCGTGCGTGAGGTCATGGGCTTCCCGGGTGTCCGTGGGTGAGAGCGGGCATCCAGAGGTGCACGCGGGCCTAGCACCGTGGCCAGCAGGATGAGCCTGCACATCTCAGGTCTGAACTTGGTGGCCGGTCACCAAGAGGCCAGCAGCTCTGAGGCCTGTTCCCAGGCCACCAGGGGGTCCCCTCTCTGGTCCCCGCTCCAGACGGCTGCCACAGGGCACTCAGGGCCCACAGGAGTGACGGGAAGGCACCTGCACGGGAGGGTCCCGGGCAGCATCGTGCTTGTCCGCCCAGCCTGGGCAGAACCTTCTGCGAACCTCTGAGGTGTGGGGACCCACTGCCCTGCCCCCCAGGGTGCTCCTTCTGCTGGATGGACCCAACACTAGCGAGCTGTCCCCCATGGAGCCCCGCAGCCCCTTCTGTGGGAGGGAACAATGTGGACAGGGTGCATCTTTGTTAAAAAACAAAACTACACTCAATGAAAGGGGCAAAAGCAACAAAGACAATTTCCTCTTTAAAAAAAACCCTTAAATTTAAAATGAAAAAATTGGGGCCCCTGGGTGGTTCAGTTAGTTGAGCGTCCGACTTTGGCTCAGGTCATGATCTCACGGTTTGTGGGTTTCAGCCCCGCATCGGGCTCTGTGCTGACAGCTCAGAGCCTGGAGCTGCTTCAGATTCTGTGTCTCCCTCTCTCTCTGACCCTTCCTTCCTCACGCTGTAAATCTCTCTCTCAAAAATAAATAAAACATTAAAATATTAAAATAAAGTAAAATATATAAAATAAAATGAAAAAATTAAAAATAAGCAATCTTAGAATAAATATCTTTTACATATTTAGGAGGTATCTTAAATATCTTGTGCTCACATAACTAACATTGTTATAATGTCCATATTACCCAAAGCCATCTACAGGCTCAAAGCAATCTCTAGCAAAACGTGATGGCATCGTTCACAGAAATAGAAAAAAATGATCCTAAAATGTGTTTGGAAGCACAAAATAACCCAAATAGCCAAAGCTGTAGTTGTTAAAATGGCTCGATGCTGGCGTAAAAACAGACACACAGGTCACTAGACAGACACAGACTGGAGAGTCCTTAAAGAAACCCACGCATACACGGCCAGTTAACTTATGACAGAGGAGCCAAGAATACACGATGGGGAAGGGAAGGTCTTCAATCAGTGCTGCTGGGAAAACTGGAGAGCCACATGCAGAAGAATGAAACTGCACCCCTATCTTATACCACCTGCAGAAACCAAGTCAAAATGGATTAAGGACTCAAACGTGGGGTGCCTGGGGGGCTCAGTGAATGAAGCATCTGACTTCGGCTCAGGTCACAATCTCATGGCTCGTGGGCTTGAGCCCCGTGTCGGGCTCTGTGCTGACAGCTCAGAGCCTGGAGCTGCTTCAGATTCAGTGTCTCCCTCTCTCTCTGCCCCTCCCCTGCTCACGCTGTTTCTCTCTCTCAAAAATAAATAAACACTAAAAAAATAATTAAAAAAGGACACGAATGTAAGACCTGAAACCATAAAACTCCATGTTTGTGAATTCTATATCAGATAAGGTGTTAATATTCAAAATATATAAGGAACGTGTATACTTTAATAGCAGTAAAACAATCTTAAAAAATGGGCAGCCGATCTGAATAGTACATCTTTTTCCACCGAAGACCTACGGATGTCCAGCAGGTACATAAAAAGATGCTTGACATCACTCATCAGGGAAATGCAAACCAAACCCACAATGAGATCACCTCACGCCTGTCCGAATGGCTCGAATCACAAAGGCAAGAAACATAAGTGCTCGTGAGGGTGCGGAGAAAAGGGAGCCCTTGGGCACTGCTGGCGGAACGCAAACTGGTGCAGCCACTCTGGAAGACACTGTGGCCTTTCCTCAAAAACTTAAAAACAGATCCCTGCAACGCCAGTCAGAGTGGCTAAAATGAGCAAATCAGAGAACTCTAGATGCTGGCGAGGATGTGGAGACACGGGCTCCCTCCTACACTGTTGGTGGGAATGTAAACTGCTGCAGCCCCTCTGGAAAACAGTGTGGAGGTTCCTCAGGAAACTAACAATAGAACTCCCCTAGGACCCAGCAGTAGCACTGCTAGGAATTTACCCAAGGGATACAGAAATGCTGAGGCATAGGAGCACATGTACCCCAGTGTTCACAGCAGCACACTCAAAATAGCCAAAACATGGAAAGAGCCTAAGTGTCCATCAGCAGACGAATGGATCCAGAAGATGTGGTTTATCTATTGATGGAATACTCCATGGCAATGAGAAAGCATGACATCTGGCCTGTGTAGCAACATGGATGGAACTCGAGGGTGTGATGCTGAGTGAAGTTAAGTCAGGCAGAGAAGGACAGATACCATATGTTTGCACGTATAGGAGGATTAGGAGGAACTTAACAGAGGACCGTGGGGGAGCAGAAGGGGGGAAATGGTGGGGGAGAGGGAGGGAGGCAAACCATGAGAGACTCTTGAATGCTGAGAACACACTGAGGGCTGATGGGGGTGAGGGGAGGGGGGATGGGCATGGAGGAGGGCACTTGTGGGGATGAGCACTGGGTGTTATATGGAAACCAACTTGACAATAAACAGTCTGTAAAAAAAAAAAGAATATCCTTAACATAATTTTTTTTAATAAATAAATTAAATAAATAAAGAAAAAATAAATAAAAACAGAAGTAGAAAAAAAAAAATAGATCCCTACAACCCGCAATCCAACCTCGGGAGATTTATCCAAAGAAAACAAAAACACTAATTAGAAAAGGTATCTGCCCCACCCCCACCCCGTGTTCACCGCAGCTGTATTTCCAACAGCCTGGAAACAACCTAAGTGTCCAGATGGGTGAACGGACAGAGAAAACATTGTGTAGATGCAGCGGACCTTCACTCACCACGAAAGACGAGGAAATGTTGCCGTTTACAGCAACGTGGATGGACCTGGAGGGCACTGTGCTCACCGAGACAGAGAGAGACAAATACCATATGATCTCTCTTACATGTGGGATCTAAAGCGCTTGTGCGCGCGCACACACACACACACACACACACACACACCCTGAGCACATACATACAGAGAACAAGTTGAATAAAGGTGGTCAAAAGGCACAAACTTGTAGTTACATGTAAGCAAGTCATGGGCACGTAACACCCAGCATGACGACTTCTAGTTAATAATATTATGTTGTTAAAAAAAAAAAAAAGGAATGATTTTAGAACAGATTCATATCTACGGAAAATCTGCAGAGCTAGTGATACAGAGTTCCGTAAACTCCGATCCTCCCAACTATTAACACCTGTGCCAGTGTGATGGCTCAGTCAGTGAGCCGACGCTGCTACGGTGCTAACTAAACGAATAACCCCATTTCCTTAGTTTCCCCCAATCTCCTTCTCTGTCCCGAGATCCCACATGACATTTCCCCATCAGGTCCCCTGAGGCTCCTCCTGGCTGTGACGGTGTTTTGGACTTCCTTTGCTTTTGACGATCATGACAGTTTTGAGCACTTCTAGGCAGGTACTTTTTTAATACATAGTTTTCTTTTATTTTTAAGTTCTTTATTTATTTTGATAAAGACAGAGAGAGAGCATGTAGGCAGGGAGAGAGGAAGAGAGAGCGAAATCAAGCAGGCTCTGCACCTTCTGCCCAGAGCCCAGTGTGGGGTTTGAACCCACAAACCACGCGTGAGATAGTGACCTGAGCTGAAACCAAGAGCCAGATGCTCAACCGACTGAGCCCCCGAGGTGCCCCGTGGGCAGGTCTTTTGTAGGGTGCCCCTCTTCTGGAGTTTTAGGGTGATTTTCTCATGGGCAGAGGTGGGAGTCATGGGCTGTTGGGAGGAGGGCCACGGAGCGGAAGTGCCCTCCTGGTCACATGGTGGCCCGGGCACATGCAGCCAGTGCAGGTCGCCGCGGCTGGAGTCGGCCCTGGGCACCTGCCAGGGCACCGCGGAATTACACCCGCCCCCCTTCTGCACTTTCCACGGGGCGTGGTCACCAGGTCCACACCCAACTGGGAGACGGGGGCTTATGCCCCCTCCCCAGGGGTCTCCCTAGCTTCTGCCCAGCACGATAGCTGTCCTGAGGGGCAGCCTCTGCCCGGTGGCCCTCTGCCTCTGGGCACAGCCCCTGTGCAGTCCCCAGAAGGGCCCGAAGGAGCCCCCTACAACCACGGCCCCCCGTCGGGAGTCGCACCTGCAGTAAATGCCCCCTGCCTCCTTTTGCCTCACCCCTACTCTGGATGCCACCCCCAGCTACCTGAGGCCCCACAGATGTCCCTCACCCCGACCCTGGTCTGTGCCCTCGCCTGCTGGAGCCGCACCTCCACCCCAGCCCCGCCCCCGAGCGCCCAGCCCCGCCCCCGAGCCCTCTCCACCCCACCCCTCCCCCACTGGACTCCCTAACTCTCCACCCAGCACGACCACCCGCCTGAGCCCCTCACCCTTCACCCCTGGCAGTGAGGGCTTCCTCGCCCCTCCCCCGCGCCTCCCCGCCCCCACACGGCACGTGGCAACCCTGCACGCCCCCGCTCCCCCAGCAGTGCTCCTCCAGACTCTGTACCTGTGGCCCCCATCCTTCCTGCCACCGGTCTCCTGCTGCTTTCTGGGGAGCCCCTTCCCCTGGTTTCATGGCCCTCTCCCCCCAGGGGACGCTGAGCCTGGAGACCCTGGACGGCTCCGACCCTGACCCGCCAGAGGCGAGCTGCGAGATCCGTGAGCCCTCCCTCCTCCTCCCCCGGGGTGGCCTCCGGGAAGACCACCAGCTGTGGTCTGAGGGACACCCCGGGAGGAGGGGGACGGGGGTGTCCAAGGGACCCACAGCTGCGGGGGCCTCGGTCCCCCCCACCCCTCTGAAGGCCCCCCTTTGCGGGGACAAGCCCACCTAGCCTGCCACGGTGGCAGGGGCCCGGGCAGGGAGGGACATGCCTCCGGGAACTCGCCACGTCCCCGTCCAGATTGGCGCTCACCACAGGTCTTCCTGGCCCTGCGTCCTGGGTCCCCGGGGTCCACAGGGGCAGGTGTCCGTGGGAGGGGGGCGGGGCTCCCAGGCAGTGGCCAGGGGCCATTTTCTCGCTCTGTTTGCACACGCCCTGCTTGTGGTGCAGGGTCTGCTGCAGTCCGGGAGCCGGAGGCCGAGCTTGCCATGGACGTCATCCTGGTGGGCTCCAGCGAGCTGTCACCCCCTGCTTCGCCAGGGCCCCGCAGAGGTGAGGGCTCACTCAGGAGGTCCGCCCCAGGCCGGCGCCGTGGCTGAGGCCCCAGGCTCCTGGAAGAGTCACACCTCACTCTGCAGCCCCCTCTGCTCCTAGGACATCACGTGGCACCTCTTGGCCACGTTTACATTAGCAAAAAGCGGCACAGGGAAGGACCCCTTCTTGTTTCCTTTCCAGAGCTCATTGCGTATGAAGTCAAGGTTAACCAGAGGGACATAGAAGGTGAGCCCTTGCCCAGCGGAGGGGGAGCAGCCCTGGAAGGCTGGCTGCAGCCCCACGCCGCCCCGGACGAGGCCGAGGCCCCCGCTCAGCTCCCTCATCCCGGCCTCTCCCCATATATTGACAAAGTTGTGCAGCCACTTCTAGGGCCTTTTCAACACCCCTAAGAGAGACCCGGTACCCACTGACAGTCACTCTGCACCCCTGCCGCTGTCCCCCTTTATAACACCTGGCAGCCGGGAATCCGCTTTCTCTCCCTGTGGATTTGCTGTTCTGGATCCCTTGAGTTTCCATGAGCATTTCAGGATCAGCTCGTCAATTTTTGCAAAAAAAGAAAAAAAAGCCAGCGGGGATTTTGAGAGGGGTCTGCAGGCCGCCCGGGGAGCCTGGCATTTTAACCACGGTGTCTTCTGACCTGTGCACACAGATACCCAAGGTCCCTTCCCACTTGTTTAGATTTTCATTTCTTTCCACACCGTTCTGGGGTTTGCATCGTACGGGGCTTGTGCTCCGGTGTTAACTGTGTTCCTAAGCTATCGCTCTGTTTGCTGGGGTCGTGACACGCGGTGCTCTCAGACATCTGCATCTGCTGCGGGAGCCTCCGGGCGCACACGCAGCACCCTCTGTTTGAGGGAGGGATGTGCGCTCCCTGCAAGGTAAGCGGGGGGGTGGGGCAGCGGCGGGGTGGGGAGGCCGGGAGGCCGGGGTGGGGGGTGGCCAGGGGGTCCGGGAGGCTGGGGAGGCTGGGGAGGCTGGGGAGGCTGGGAGGCCAGGAGGCAGGGAGGCCGGGGAGGCCGGGAGACTGGAGGCCGGGGGGAGCAGAGGAGGCACCGGCCTGGCCCCGCCCCTTGCCAAGGCCACGTTCCTGCGCTGCCTGTTCCTGTACGATGACGACGGGTACCAGTCCTACTGCTCCATCTGCTCCTCCGGGGACACGCTGCTCATCTGCGAGAACCCCGACTGCACCCGGTGAGCCCGGGGGCGCCCCCAGGGCACGTGTGGGGTGAAGGAGCCTCCGCCCACCGCCCAGGGCTCTCCTGTCCTCGGGGCTCCTCGTCCCAGAGTGTGGAGGACGTCCCCCCAAGACGAGCTCCCCCCACGCTTCCCGTTTCCATCCCAAGTAATTTGTTTGGTGTAGACCCTTCACACGTGGGAGGCGGGGCATCCAGAGATTTGCGTTCCTGAGTTTTCTTGTTATTATTGTTGCTGCCAGGGTGTGCAGCTCCGTCAGTCGGGACATGGGGAAGTGAGGGAGGCCCCGTCCCTGGGGCTGGGGTTCACAGGCAGGGGCCAGCGTGGTCCCTTCCCCCCCGTCCGTCTGTCTGGTGTCCTTGTACTTAGTCTCCCTCCTCCCAAATCGTCCCCCCACCCTGCTGTCCTTGACCCCTAACTTCCTGCAGGCTCTGGAGGTGGGAAGACAGGTGCCCGCACCTCGCTGTCTGCAGATGGCTCCTTCCTGTCCCTCGAAGTCCCTGAGACGGACTAGACCCCCTTCCCGGGTGACCACTCCCCCTCGCCCCTGCCCCGTGCCCGCCCGCCTCCAGGCGGCTTCTGTCCCTGGTGGCCAACGGGATGTCATTTCTGTCACTGTGATTTTCTTTCTGGCTCCAGATGCTACTGCTTCGAGTGCGTGGACACCCTGGTGGGCCCGGGGACCTCGGGCAGGGTCCAAGCCATGAGTAACTGGGTGTGCTTCCTGTGTCTGCCCTTCCCCCGCAGCGGCCTCCTGCAGCGGCGCAGGAAGTGGCGGGGCTGGCTGAAGGCCTTCTGTGACCGCGAGCTGGTGAGGGTTTCTGGGCTTCCGGGGACGACGCAGTTTGTGGGGGGGTGGGGGTGGGGGCTGACAGTCAGTGTTCTCTGCTGCCGGCTGCAGAATGCCCACCTGCGCCGATAGGCGATGCCAGAGCCCAGGCTTCTACCCAGAGGCCTTGTTCTGGTTTTCCTCTTTAGTCTGGGCTCCACCAAGGGGTCTGGCTTGTGACAGTGACTCCGGCAAGGCAGTTCCGCGTCTTCCAAGCCAGGGATGAGGGATCCGCAGCAGGCAGGAGACGGGCCAGCGGAGCTGTGCCTCCAGGGCCAGCAAGCAGGGCAAACACTAGTCAGTGGGCAGAGGCGGGGCGCAGGCTCGGGGCACGGACTGGGGCGCAGGCGTGGGGCTCCTGAGCGTGGAGGCCGGGAGCCGGGAGCCAGGCGCACCTAGGGGCTCACGAGTGGCTTGCTCTGTGTCTCCAGTGCTGCCCCCGGTACCTGGGAGTGTGGCCGCTGCGGAGCTAGGGTCTTCGCAGAGGAGACCCTCCTGAATGGGGTGAAGCAAAGGACCGGTGTGGTGAGGGAAAGGGGAGGGGGGTGGAGACCCCCGGGGGAGCAGCCCAGGCCAGCACAGGAGAAGCTCGGGAGGGGCGCAGGAGGGAGCCGGGCCCGCCACTCCTGGACCCGGGACCTGTGGCCTCCACGTAAAAATGTGGTGGTGACTTGCAGCCACAGGTTATACTCACTGTTCTGGCCGCCCCAGGAGACTGAGGCACGAGAGGGGCCGCCCTGGGTAAGCAGGTGCAGCGTGGGGCCCACACGTAGGTCTGCAGAACTAGGCACCCCCTCAGCCTCTCCCCCCTCAGCCTCACTTTCTCTCTCGGCCTCTGGCTGCTGTTTGGCGGGAAGTAGGTGCGGGGAGAGGGCTGTCCCTGCCCATCTGGGTGTGCGCGCGCCAGCTGTCCCTGGAGGGGCTGGGGGCGATGGAAGGGGGTGTGCGCTGACCCACCTGCATGGGCGCCCCTCTCTCCTGGGGCTAGGATGACCCCCCACCCCTGCTCACCAGCTGCAGGAAGTTTCCTTTCAAAAGGAAATGCAATTGATGTTCACGAGTGTCCGCAATGCCCCAGTGCTGGGGGGAGGGGCGCGGAGGACGGAGCTCCCCTCCCACAGTCACAGCGGAGGGGACCAGGATGCCCCCAGTGTCCATCAGAGCCATGTTGTGCTGGACCCACTGCCCTCCTCACACCCACCCCCAGACTCACCAGCCCCCCAGCCCATCGGCTCAAGCCACAGGCAGACCCTTCCCCACGTGGCTCGGGGCCTCCCATTTGGGTCTGGTCTCTGTCAGTTGGGCAGCTTGAAGCCAAAGTGCACGCTCCTGGGGGCGGGGGGGCGGGGTCTGGGGTGCTTGTTTTACAAGTGGGCATCCTGGAAGGGGTGAGGGTTGCCGATGGGCTTTCGGGTCCTTTGTCCTCAGCCGGCAGCCATGAGGGCCACCAGGTGGCTCGGGGCCTCACTGAGGAAGTGGAGTCGGGGATCCCCCTGCTGTGCGTGTTCAGGACCCCCCCCCCAAGAAATCCAGAGGAAGTCCTTTCTCTTGGGATAGAATTTTCTTCCTTCACCAGGGAAAGCCCTTCGCACCTGCCTTTCCTGTGCTAGAGAAGGCCCGGCGGGGGTCAAGGCCCGAGCCCCAGGCCTAGGGGCCAGCCTGCCTTGAAGGCGCGTTCAAGGGTGTCTCCCCTGATGGGGAAGTGCCTCTGCTGGAGCAGAGAGAAGCTTCCTTGTGCCTCATGGGCTCTACAACCGGGTCACCGCCAGAACTGTTTTCAACAGGGGAACGCACCAGAGATCTACAAAACGGTACCCGTGTGGAAGAGGGGGCCAGTCCGGGTGCTGACCCTGTTTGGGGACATCAGAAACGGTGAGTGTGGTGGGGGAGCCTGGGTGGCTCAGTCGGTTAAGCGTCCGACTTCGGCTCAGGTCACGATCTCACGGTTCCTGAGTTCCAGCCCTGCATCGGGTTCTGTGCTGACAGCTCAGAGCCTGGAGCTGCTTCGGCTTCTGTGTCTCCCTCTCTCTGACCCTCCCCTGCTCACGCTCTCTCTCTCTCAGAAATAAATAAAAAACATTAAAAAATTAAAAAAAAAAAACAAAAAACAAACAAACAAGCAAAACTGGTGAGTGTGGTGAGCTCACGCCGGGCCACACCGCTCTGCCCTGAGGGAGGTCCGCAGGGGCCGGCCTGTGTCCAGGGAAGGGTGCGTGAGCAGCCGGAGCGCAGTCCTTCAGAACTGCTGGCCTGGCAGAAAATGCAGGGAGCACGTGTGGATGGGAAATGCCACGAAGCAGGGCCGTGGGCCCGGGGTCTCTGCAGAGGGCAGTAGTCCAGGCCCTGCCCTGCCCATGCCACCCAACGCCAAAGTCCGCCCCGGACCCCTCCATGCGCCTGATGGCCCCACGGGGCTCCCTGCCTCTCCCGCTACCCAGATGTCCCAGCCGCCTGGGCCGGCCACGTGATGCATTCTAGCCTGGTCCCCCCACCCCCGCCCCCCGGGCCCTGCACTGACCCCCACCTGCTGGTGCCTTGGAAATCCTATGGATGCTTCTGGGTCCAGCAGACAGAAGAAGAATCCATGAAACGCTCTTTAGTCTCTGGCTGGGTGGACTAGGCACGCGCCCTGCTCCGGCTCCGTGCCGCGAGCCTTGCGAGCTGTGGTCACAGTGGCCCCTGTGTACCTGCGTCTGTGGGACACACAGGGTGGGCACAGCCTGTGAGATGAGGGGTGCAGGAGTCCGACCCCAGGCCACCCCAGCCTTGTCTCCCACCTGGACGATGCATCTCCTACTCCCGATTGTAGAGTCCGCCCCCAGGCCGAGGACCCTCGGAGGCTGTGACAGGGCACCTGTAGCTCACAGCCGCCGTGCAGCACAGCCAGGCTGGGTGACAGCTGCGTGGACACCGCGGCCTGGCGGGTTTCCAGAGCAGCCCATGACACAGCAGCCCAGGCAGGCCTGGTTTTGCAACAAATTGCTTGACTTTCTTAAATCAGGACTCAGCGGAGTTCGCTGCTGAGCGCGTCATGGAATCAGTGTCCGTCCTGAGACAGAGTTTGCTCATTAACGGCAGACATGTCTTTAATCAACCCTCAGCCTTTGGATTGTGTGTGGGCCCGAGTGGACGCTGGCCCTTCTGAGCCTCCTTGTGTCTCCCCCGTGCAGAGCTAACGAGTTTGGGCTTCTTGGAAAATGGTCCTGAGCCAGGAAGACTGAAGCACTTGGATGACGTCACCAATGTAGTGAGGAGGGACGTAAGTGCTCTGTGCGCCCCCAAAGGCCTCGATGAGGGCAGGTGTGTGGGACACCGGAGGGCGTCCCCCAGCCAGGGTGTACATGGGGGACCCGCAGGCCGTGGGAGAGGCCAGAGGGGTGTTTTCGTGGCCCCCATGTGGGGGCCCAGAGCGATGGGCCGGAGCTCCCGTTCTCATGGCTGCAATCCACGAGCACGACGGCGGGAGGAACTGTCCCCCACCCCCCCAGCCCCAGGTAAAGTCGTGAACTGAATGGCCAGTCACTGTTTGGGGGCATCCTCTGAACACAGTCCAGAATGTTCCGGTTCTCTTGAAGGCTGTTTCCTGCTGTCCCAGACAGTGACTTTGGAGGAAGTACCCAAAAATGACTCACGGGCACCCAGCCTGGCCAGGAGCCCTCGGAAGCAGAGGGGAAGGGGCTGGTGGCCCTGGGACGGGAGGACCTGGTCCTTCGGTCTCTGGGCCCATGAGAAAGGACTCAAGCCCACTGTCCTGAGAGCTACCAATCATGGGCAGAGGGTCTGGGACGGGAGTGCTGGCAGTGGAAGGGGGTGGCCAGCCACAAGGAGGGGGCTGATGTGGGGTTCTGCTCTGTCAGGGGCCGCCCAGGGCCTCACCACTCCGCTCCCCATGGGGCCTGGGAGCCCATGGTCCGGGGCCTAGTGCCCCGCTCTGGACATGCCTGAGGAAACCCCGCAGCCTCGGGCCCCCCGAGTTCCCCTGCCCGGAGGCCAGGCCAGGTCTCTTCGCAGGGTTAGGGTGCGCCTGAGCCCCATGACCTTACACTTCATCACCACGGGTCTCGTCCAAGGCCCCACAGCCCACCCTCACCCCATCCCCGTGAGCCTGTCCATCACACCCCCCACGCTGGGCTGGAGTCCACTCACGGGGCAAGGCGGGGTGTGGGACGCGATGGCGACACGGGGCCTCCCCTGTAGCGGGGCTGTGGGGGACGCCCGGGCCCCTCCCTGCGTGCCAGCTGTGGCCGCCGCCGCCCTGTCTTCCCGAGTGAGGCCTGCTCTCAACAGCAGCAGGTGCCCTCTGCTGCCTGCAGTGGTGCGGGCTCTGCGTTCTCAGCTACGGTGCGGCCTCTGTTGGCAGCAGAACATGTGACACCTCCTATCAGCCGCAATACGGGACCTCTATTTCTGACAGTAATGCTGGAAACGTGTTTCCTGTAGCAGCGTGTGACACCTGTTACCACGGCAACACGTGGCACCTGTTACCATAGCAGTGCGTGACACCCGTAGCGGTGTGTGACACCGTTACCACGCCAGCGTGTGACGCCCGTGACCGTAGCAGTCACCACAGGGTGTGTGAGGCCTTGCCGCGCCCACGCCACCCCTCCGGACCTCACGCCTCTCACGAGGCCTGTGACCCGGGCTGGTGTGGCGCCTCCTGGAGGCGGGGGCGGCCGGCTCCCCCCTGCTCCTGGCGGTGGGCTTCTGGGCGGATTAAAGCTCAGGGGGTTTCTGTTGTCGCCTGGATTGCGGGGGGCAGACAGCTGGTGGGGGGACTGGGTGCTCCCACTAAGGCTGGTTTCTCCGTGAGCTGCTTCGCTGCACCGCGTACCAGGGGTCAGCGGGTGATCGCAGGGCTGCTGGCCGGGGACCGCCAGCCCGCGCTCGCCTCCTTGCGCCCCTCCCCCGGCCCCTCTGCCTGGACCTGTGCTCCGCGCCTTCGCTCCAGTCAGTAGGCCGTGACGGAGGCCAGTGCCCAGACGCCACCAGTAGCTCTCAGGGACACGGGGGTGCCGGAGAAAGGCAGGCGCCGGGGGCTCACCGCAGGGTGTAGGCTTTGGTCACGCGCTCGGGGGACCGTCCGGGGAAGCGGGGGCCAGCTCTGGTGTAGGACCCATCAGAAAACCAGGGACCTGCTACCTGGGTCTCTTATTAATTTCTCTCTAGTAGAATGTCAGGGACTACGATTGTCATTCCCGGGAGTCCCTCGGGTCCTGCAGGAGAGGGGCACGTGGGTCACTCCGTGGTTCAGGGGCGTCCTTGTCTGCTCGGGCACGGTTGGAGGGACGGACTTCGTCTTCCTCCGCGGCCGGCAGTGACCGGCTGACTGCTGCTGTGTCCCAGCCCCTCCCGCCGGGCAGGGAAGCCTGTGGCCCGGCTGTCCGCTCCCCGCTGTCACATGGGGCGCACCTCTTATATTATCTAGCAACACACAGGAAATCCGTGTGAATCCTGGGGGGTCCGTGTGCCAGCCTTCCCGGGGGCCGGTCTGTAAGGCCAGTGCCTGGCTCGCCTCACATTCCTGGTGCCCAGTGGAGGGCTGGCCTCCCCTTGGGTGATAGAGGCCGGGCTCCGTGTGACCCTGAGCCAGTGGCAGGTGTCACCTGGGGGTCTCCCTGCTCCCGCCGGGGCGCTGTGGGGGCTCGGCCTCATCGCGAGCCACTCACCTGGACACACGAGGTGCCCGCTGCCTTGGGGGCCGCTCAACCCGCGAGCCCCCCTCCGGAACAGGCTGCCCCACCTGCCTTCTGTGCGTCCGTGTCCTGCAGGTAGAAGGATGGGGCCCGTTCGACCTCCTGTATGGCTCCACGCCCCGCATCGGCCACGCCTGTGACCACCCTCCGGGTAAGAGACCTCGGCCTGCACACGTTCCCCGGCCGTCTGCTCCCCAGACCGCTTGCTGCCCTCAGCGCCTTGGGTCTGGCGGACATGCCAGGTGTCTGCCCGGGAAGCAGCCATCCTGAGGTGTCACTGACGTGAGGAGGTCATCCCGTCAGCCAGTAGTTTACCCGTTTTGACCACCTGAAGCCACGGCCATGGCCGAGAGCGGAATCCAACGCCCGGAGGCTGCCTGCCCCACCCCCCCACTGCCCTGCAGCGCTCTGCGTCCCCACAGCAGGCGCTCCGAGTGGGGTCATTTGCGGGAGGACACGCATGTGCGACTCCGTCCCCACATAATGTGGGGCCGGGGTCTGTGCTCAGGCCACAGTGACCCCGAGTCCTTGAGGCTCAGCGGCTCCGGCGGGGACAGGCCTGCCCTGGGGAGAGGCAGGCGCGGGGTCTGGGCAGTCGCCCCCGCGCCCTCTGCCGTGTCCCCATGGGCAGGGCCCACATGCACCTGATGACCCTCCCCCAGTGTGGTACCTGCTGCAGTTCCACCGCCTGCTGCAGTACGCGCGGCCCCGGCCAGCCCGCCAGCAGCCCTTCTTCTGGATGTTCGTGGACAACCTGGTGCTGACTCAGGAGGACCGGACTGTAGCCACTCGCTTCCTGGAGGTGCGTGCCGCGCTGCGGTCAGGGGTTGTCTCGGGGGTGCGTGCCGTGCTGTGGTCCGGGGGGTGTCCGGGAGGTGCGTGCCATGCTGCGG